TAAGAAAACCAAGATCATGGCATCCGGCCCTCTCAATTCCTGGCAAATAGATGGGGAAGAAATGGAGGTAGTGACAGATTTTATCTTCCTGGGCTCCAAGATCACCGCAGATGGGGACTGCAGCCAAGAAATTAAAAGACGCTTGCTCCTGGGGAGGAAAGCTATGGCAAATCTAGACAGCATACTAAAAAGCAGAGACATCACCCTGCCAACAAAAGTACGTATAGTGAAGGCCATGGTTTTCCCAGTTGCAATGTATGGCTGTGAAAGTTGGACCATAAGAAAGGCTGAGCGAGACTTCTGGTTCCGGATTGCGGCGTTCGCAGCTGTGTGAGGAGACAGTTTCCGCTGCCGGTAGACCCTTAATCGGGTCGAAAAGCCGCCTTGGAGGGGCGGCTACCGCTGAGGAGGTCCTTGTCGTCCGTGGGAAAGCGGCAGCTGCTTCCACGGCCCGAGATTGCTTCTTTGGGCAGATGGTGGAAAGATCGGCCACTAAAATGGCCATTCACCTTGCCGCTGTAACCAGAAGTCAGAAGAACATCTAAGCACAGGAACCACCGTGGTTGAGCCGGGTGAGACTTTTTTTTCTCCCTCTCTTGGTTTTCTTTTTTCTTTTGTGCCTGTAAAAAGCACCTTTGAAATTATTTCCCTGCTCTAAGAAGGTGGCGTATGTGAGTGTGGGGAAAAGAAGCTTAAATGGACTGAATTAATTTAAAGTGATTTTTTTTTCTATTTTTGTTTTTTTTTTATTCACTTTGGGGTCTTGGAAATTTTTTTTTTAATATTGAATCTGCTATTGGACTTGAATTCTCCTTTTTTCTGTGTTTCCTGATCTTGTTTATGAGATTCCTGGTCTCTAGGAGAAGATTTTACATTGTACTGAGGACACCTTGTGGAAAAAGTTAAAATTGCAACTCTTTTTTTTTTCTGACGGTGAGACTGACTTTGACCTTCAGAGTACCATAAAAGAAAAAATACAACGAAAATTAATAGCTGTACTGGTGGGAGTGGATACTGATTAAATGTTCCTTGAACACAGCCTCTACTAAATGATACAGACTGTTCCTAATTATTTTTGAAATGGAGCAACCCTATATTCAACTTGACTATAAGCTCATACTGGAAAAACTTTATGAAGCTACTGATGAAATATGTTTGCAAATAAAAGAATTTACTATGGAAATAAAAAACAGAAAGCCTGCTTTGAAATTACAAATTGACCCTCAGACTTTATTTGAGCATTCTATAGACCAAAAAACAACAGAAGCGGGATTAACCAAGGGTAAAGAAGATTCTATTTTACTTCACATGTATGCTGATGAGATCTCCGAGGAACCAAAAAGGACTGTAATTAAACCACCTACAACTCTAAAACCAACAGAAATGGACAGACAAGCTCAACGAACGGAGAATTATGGTAATTTGGATAAGCAACTATTATCTACAAAGTTGGACATAACTGAGCCTGCTATTCAACAGTTTCAAACGTGGAGATTTGACTCTTTAAAACAACAAGGGATTACTTACAAAGGAACTAGGTCTCTAAAACAGAAAAGGGGACGTTTCTGTTTGATACAAAGGACACCACAAGGCATAAAAAGTGACTTGTTCATTGATATAGAGGCGTTGTTATGGAAACCTGTTTGGCATAAAAGGAAAGCTAGAATAAGATTTAAGAGTGTGACTTAAGGCTTTATATAACGGGTTTAAAAGGCTTATTAGATATGGACTGATTTATGGCTTAACACAGTTAAATAAGATGTTAGATTGAATAAAAATTAATTAAAGGTTTGAATTTAATAAGAGGTTTGTTTATGTATTAATATGTTTTGGATATAGTAATTTTGGGAGGAGGTTAAAGGAATTTGATATTGATAGATTATAAAATAGAATAGAAATAGTAAGGTATTTTTCTTTTTTCTTGGTTTTGTCTTTGTTTCTTATTTTTTGTTCTTTTCTTTTCTTTTCTGTTTTGAACTAATATTTTTTTTTTAGAAATGATAGCTACTTTGTAATGCAAGAAGAATAAGATAAAAGAAGAAATGATACTAATAAATGTTTATTGAATATGTTAAGGAAAAAGGCAATGGGGAGACACCCGAAGTGTTAATTATGCATTTAGATTAGAAATATGGAATATAGCATTTGAAATAGTTAAGCTCAACACAGGATTTGGATTTGTGGATTTAT